AGGAGCGGTGAGCGGGGTTAGTTGGCGTTAAGAGGTGGCAGAGGCAGAGCCAGGCTGGCGGTGCCACCGCGCGCCCCGTGGACGGCTCAATGTCCCAGGTGAGCTCTAGGAGCAGGCAAGGAGGAGGGGCAGCCACCACAACCTTCCCACCACCACATGTTCTCACCATCCCCACGGCCCCACCACCAACCACACCGTCCCCACCACCTCGACTCCAGCACGACCAGCAGGACGTCAATCCCTCCCACCACGTTGGCTCCAGCACCACCTGACACCATCCCCACCACCACCTTGACTCCACCACCACCACCTCGACTCCACCACCACCACCTCGACTCCACCACCACCACCTCGACTCCACCACCACCACCTCGACTCCACCACCACCACCTCGACTCCACCACCACCACCTCGACTCCACCACCACCACCTCGACTCCACCACCACCACCTCGACTCCACCACCACCACCTCGACTCCACCACCACCACCTCGACTCCACCACCACCACCTCGACTCCACCACCACCACCTCGACTCCACCACCACCACCTTGACTCCACCACCACCACTGTGGCATCACCCCCACGTGCGGTGAGCGCGGGTTACTGGGGTTAGTGGTGAGCAGGGGTGTTAAGAGGGGACGCGCATGCTTGGGGCAGGGGGGGGATCAGGATGTGGCTCCACACCCCAATCCTGTCCCCCAGCCCCACTGAGGACCTGGGGCACAGCCAGACCCCCATGGAGACCTGGTGGGGCCACCAGCACCAGGTGGTTCTGAGAAGCCACCACTGGACCATGAGCCCTCCAAGGCCTTTCCTTGCTGTGCCAGGTTGTCTCCTCCCCTGGGCACTTGGTAGATCTTCCCCTTGGGGGTGTGACACCATGTTGGGGTGCCAGGGATGAGGGTCCCCACAAGGAGGGACGTGGTGGCACCAGAGATCTTCTCTAGGAGCTCTCACCGTCCGTGTGCACCCGCATGGCCGAGGCTGTGATGTCGGTCGTGACGTTGAAGTAGGGCAACCACAGGTCCTGGGGGGGCAAGATGGGGCAGGTGACACCGTGGGGACGTTGGTGGGTGGGTGGTTGGACCCACCACCACGGGTGGGTGAAGCCCTGGGGGGGGTTCTGTGAGACCCACCTCGATCTGCTTGTCCTGGAAGACCTTGTTGATGCTGGTGTTGAAGGCTGAGCCCGAGAACATGGAGGTGATGGGGTAGGTGAGGTCCAGGACAGTCTCAAACACCGAGTTCATGCACTGGAGGAGGAGGAGAAAGGAGGAGGAAGAGGAGGAGGAAGGAGGAGGAAGGAGGAAGAAGAAGGGAAAGGAGGAGGAGGAATAAGGAGAAGGATGAAGGAGGAGGATGAGGAAGGAAAAAGGAGAAGGAGGAATAAAGAAAGAGCAGGAATAAAGGAGGAGGAAGAGGACAAAGAAGAAAGCAGAAGGATGAAAAAGAATATGGAGAGAAGGAGGAGGAAGAGAGGAGGAGAAAGAAGGAAGGAGAAGGGAAACAAGGAGGAGGAATAAGAAGGAGGAGGAGGAATAAGAAGGAGAGGGCAGAAGGATGAAGAAGGAGAAGGATGAAGAAGAGGGAGGAGGAGGAAAAGGAGGAGGAGGAAGAATAAAGAAGTAGAAGGAGGAATAAAGAAAAAGGAGGAGAAGGAAAAGAAGAATGAATAAGAAGGAGAAGGATAAAGAATAAAGAGGATGAGGATGAACAATCAAGAGGTGGAGGGAGAAAGAAGAGGAGGAAGAGGAGGGAGAAAGAAGAAGGAGAAGGAGTAAAAAGAAGGATGAGGAAGAAAAAGAAAAGAAGAAAAGAAGAAAGAAGCAGCAGCAGCAGGAGAGAGGGGGGAGGAGGAGGGGAAAGAAAGGAGGGAGGAGGGAGGAGCTTGAGACCAGCCCAGGGCAGGGCAGGGCAGGCAGGGAGGTGGGGGGTGGTCCCAGCTTGGCCAGGGGGGTTGGTTCCCCCTTGGCACAGGTGGATGGTCCCACCTTGGCTGAATGGGGATGATCCCACCTTGACCCGGGGTGTTGGTCCTCCCCTTGCCTGGGGGGGTGTCCCCCCTTTCCTGGGGGGTGTCCCCCTGTCCCGGGGGGTGCCCCTGTCTCAGGGGTGTCCCCCCTTGCCTGGGGGTGTCCCCCTGTCCTGGGGTGTCCCCTGTCCCAGGGGGTGTCCCCCCTTTCCTGGGGGTGTCCTCCCTTGCCCGGGATGTGTCCCTCTGTCCCGGTGGGTATCTCCCCTGTCCTGGGGGGTGTCCCCCCTGTCTTAGGGGCGTCCCCCCTTGCCTGGGGGTGTCTCCTGTCCCGGGGGGTGTCCCCCTTTCCTGGGGGGTGCCCCTGTCTCAGGGGTGTCCCCCCTGTCCTGGGGGATGTCCCCCCTGTCCCGGGGTGTCCCCCACCTTGCCCGGGGGTGTCCCCCTGTCCTGGGGGGTGTCCCCCCTTCCCTGGGGGGTGTCCCCCTGTCCTGGGGGATGTCCCTCCTGTCCCGGGGTGTCCCCTGTCCCGGGGGGTGCCCCCACCTTGCCTGGGGGGTGTCTCCTCATGTCCCAGGGGGTGTCCCCCCTGTCACGGGGGGTGTCCCCCATCCTGGGGTGCCCCACCGTGCCCGGGGGTGCCCTCCCTGTCCCGGGGGGTGTCCCCCCTGTCACGGGGGGTGTGTCCCATGTCCCGGGGTGTCCCCTGTCCCGGGGGCTGTCCCCACCTTGCCCGGGGGTGCCCCATCTTGCCTGGGGGGTTTCTCCTCGTGTCCCCGGGGGTGTCCCCCCTGTCCCGGGGATATCCCCTTGCCCGGAGGTTGTCCCCCCTGTCCCCAGGGGTGCCCCCCATCCTGGGGTGCCCCACCTTGCCCGGGGGGTGACTCCTCTGTCCCGGGGGGTGTCCCCCAGTCCTGGGGGATGTCCCCCCTTTCCTGGGGGTGTCCTCCCTTGCCTGGGATGTGTCCCTATGTCCCGGTGGGTGTCCCCCCTGTCCTGGGGGGTGTCCCCCTGTCTCAGGGGTGTCCCCCCTTGCCTGGGGGTGTCCCCTGTCCCGGGGGGTGTCCCCACCTTGCCCAGGGGTGCCCCCCCCGTCTCAGGGGTGTCTCCCCTTGCCTGGGGGTGTCCCCTGTTCCAGGAGGTGTCCCCCTGTCCTGGGGGATGTCCCTCCTGTCCTGTTCTGGGGGTGTCCCCTGTCCCAGGTGGTGTCCCCACCTTGCCCAGGGGTGTCCCCCTGTCCTGGGGCGTGCTCCTTTGTCCCAGAGGGTGTCCCCTTGCCCGGGGGTGTCCCCCCTTTCCTGGGAGGTGTCCCCTTGCCCGGGGGTGCCCCCCCGGGGCGGGGTGCCCACCTTGGCCCACTCCCGCGCGCGCTGCTTGGTGCGCACGGCGCTGCGCTCCTCGGCGTACAGGGCCCCGATGAAGGCGCCGATGGAGGTGCCGCCCACCAGGTCGATGGGGATCCCCGACTCCTCCAGTGCCTTCAGCACCCCGATGTGGGAGCAGCCCCTGCGGGGACAGGACGGGCTCAGGACCCCCCACCCCACCAGG